TGATTTTATGCTACGGGTCGTTATTTTTACATTTATACGTGCTCGGAAGTAACCGTGAATTTGTATAGAACTCAATGATTCGGAAACTTAATGCTTTTGGAATATTATTATGCGCTTGCGTTGTACAAAACGTCCGTTTTATTTATTAAGAAAGAACAAGATATTTATATTCATATTTATGTTCGCATTAAAATTTATTGAAAGGCATGTAAAAATAAAACTTAAGAACGAGATGTAAGGACCGTTGAATTAATTTTATTGATTTGAGTGAGTACCAGTAATATGACTTGTAAAAATTTGTTTCAAGTACGTTTTATTCGTTAATATTTGAAAAATGTACTAAATACCTTATCATTCTAAAAACATAATAAAATTATAATACAATTTAAATGTTTTCAAGATGATCCCTTTTGTGTGTGTGTTAACGCGTAGTTTATATAAATGTAAATGTATGAAATGGTTAAGACATATGCAAATTTAAATACGTCTACATCCCTTTTTAAATGCATGCAACTTCAATTGCATATTATTCTGTCATTTTTATGTGTTTTTTACTGCGTTCACTAAAGCGATGGATAAAAAAAAAACAAGTTAAGGAAAAGCACACTCTACGCGGGCATTCAACTCTCAATATAGTCGTTTTGTGTATTATGCAATTGTACATACAATTTAATGTAAAATACAATTAGTATGAATATCTATTATTAATGTGTATTTAACGTAATAATCACAAAGCATATTGAATTATTATTCTTATATAGTCATCTACAGATTAATTTGTTAAAATTATTAAAATTGAAATGCTGACATAAAAACTCAAGTCAAAATACGTAGATATGATTAATTTACTTTATATTATTTATAAATAATGATATGCATGTTCTAATTATTTAAGTACAAAAAAAAAAAAATTCTTCTAATAAGTTAAATCCTAATGTCAATGGCACGGTTGATTTTTAGTTGAAATTGAATTTTAGAGCATAAGGAAAACTTATTTATTATTATGAGCGGTAAAAAGTTTTTGGATAAAACCTTAAATTATTTACGAGGAAAATGTGGCGTTCGTAGTGAACACCAAATAGGAATAAAATTCAGCTCGTAATATGTATTCGACCAATTTATGGAAAATAATAATGGTAAAACATCGCGAACTTATGTTATAGCATTCAACAAACTTTAAAACTTATTAAACTTGTAGTGTAGGTAATTTACTTATGTTCTGAATTTTTAACAAGTTTGGTCTATGTGGTTTTGTTGATGACTTACAATTAATGTTAATATTATAAAAATAATAAATAATTAAATATTTGTAAGATAGTTAGTATCTTCCTATTACGTTGTAAGAACACGATAGGAAGTGAATGTTTGACTAAAAGTATTGTTACATAATACGGACAATGCACGTGTAGGTATATAAAACTACGAAACAGATATTTAACTAAATTATTCTAATTCGGTTTGAGTGTCTTACTATGTTACACACTCGTATACATAATAATAATAATAATTCATATTTTTTTCACCATGTACTTTGAAAATAATGGTCAGATGATTAAATTTAATATTACATTAGTGCGTGCCTATGCAATTGAAATGAATACTTCAAGTTTACATAATATACGAGTAGGTATAATATATTTATAAATTTTAAGTTTTAATGGAACTTTAATTAAGTAGATAGTTTTTTCATTCGCATGCGTTTTACTGGCTATGATACATCACGTCATGTACCTATTATAAAATGAATCAATTTTTCACAAAGAACCTGTAATGGCCAAAGGAATTTTATATATAAAAGGTTTATATGTCTTAATGATTATTTAATAGCTACAACATATATCCGATGTCAAGAAACATTAATACTAAATTATCATTAATGAAAACAATACTTTATTTTATTTTTTTTAATGTGTGTACACATAAACAGTGTTAGTGCATTTAATATAAATTATTCAGGAACTAAAAAATACACATTTTTGTGTTTGATGACACAAATATAAAACATAAATAAAATTTGACCAGTGTCAATAAGTCGAGAAACATACTTTGTACCATAAAGAACACATTACTAGAACCGTAATTACCACCGGGTGCACAACACGCTTAAAAAGTTTCTTCGGAACACGCACCATTGACAAATGGGATGAAATCATTTTAGAGAAGAAAAGTGATATTTTCATGATTCATATACGTTACGTTTTTTGAATATCATACTTTTTGATCGTAAAAATTTCTTTTTGAGAATGATGTGATGGCTGTGGGTGTATGTGTAGGACAAAGGTGGTCGACCTCAAATAGTTGGGAGTAAGGCAAGGGTATTGGGTGAAGACACTTTTTGTTCATATACAGTTAAATGATAATTTTCTAAGAAATCTAATAAGTTCAATATCGTACTAGATGATTGTGTAATACAATGTCACTAAGTATTATATATTACTTATATATCACGCGTTACTATTGTACTTGTTTTACATTACTATGTTTTACATATTTTTCTTGCAGAGTTGCACTTGAAAATTCGTTCAGAACGCGAATAAAAAAAAAAGTTATTAATTTTTTTCATGGTAAATTAAAAATCAGCCAACGCGTTGGCACACGTGCATATTTTTTCACTTTTCTAGCTCCGCGTCAGTAATATATGCGTGTACTAACGACAAATTCACTTTGCCAGAATTAAACATTTTACACTTTTCCATCTCAATGTTTGTAGAAAAACGATTTGATCACATTGCACTGAAACCTGATATAATTTGCTGCCCAGTAAATTCTACTGCTGCAAAAACATGTTTTAGTTTTTTTTTCACTTGGGTCATCGAGTATAATAATTATGCAGTCACGAAACATCAAACCTGTGAAACGGTTCGTAATACGGATAAAAACGGTAATGCTGTTTTATTTTTTAGGCCTCCTCACCCCGTCCGTTCTCTCACGACGATCAATATCAATTACAGAATTATTATTCTATTCAAACAGGGTTTTGCTCTCCCTCTCTCTCTCTCGTCACTAGTACTCTGCATGGTCTGATATTAATCAGTCCGGTCCGGTCTAGTACGGTCCTAACATACAAAAACTATTCCCAATCATGGTGCTTAAAATCTAAATACAGATATTGTTATGTAAATAATTAAAACAAAAAAAACCAACAATTTTAGGCTAATATTTATTTTTTATTTTTATTTTCTGTAATTTTCTGTGAAATAAGAACTCAGTAATACAGTTTTATAATTAATTATACGAGTTACATTCTCGTGTACAATACATGAAACAATAATTTGGGAAATTCCTGTAAAATGAAATATCATTCTAATGAAGAAAAATATTATATAGTCATTGATTCATAGTAATTATTTCTTTACACATAAAAACGTGTAATGAACAAATGTACAGAACAAATAAAATTATCTCAATAATACATTTATGTAAAAAAAATATTTGGTTAAATATTATTGGTTTTAATTTGTGGTTTTGTTGTTTTGTAAACGGAAAAGACTTATTGTTTTGAAGTCTGGATTGACTTATGTTTTGTTTGGATTATTTACTGGAGACAATCGTTGCATAATTTTCATCGTTTTAACGATGATGACTATTAAACTCAGAAGTTTGTAAATTTTATCCAAATCTGGTAAAAAATACGTTACGAATAACACAGTCTTAGAAGTTAGTCTTTAAAATAGTCATAGGACGTTATATTGTTTAATTCACCTTTGTTAAATTTTAAAATGAATATGAAGTATATCGAATGGGTTCATCAAACAATATCAGTATAAAATATCTTCTAAATATTATTCTTTCACACCAAAATCTATGACATATACTCTGTAAAGGCTTGTGATTTTAATCTATACTACAATATTAAATACTTTAAACCGTACTACCATAGATTAAATATACTAATATAGTTATTTTTCTAAATGTTAAATATGAAGAAAATCGAAATCATTTTTTAATGTTAGGTAATTGTGTAAAAAGAATGATTGTATTATGTATAATATACATAATACAATCATTCTTTATATATATATATAATATATATACATTGTATATATATATATATTAAATCATATGAGTGCAAAGTTTGATTCATCCGTTGAAAATCGCTCATCTAATTTTTAAAATATTTAAAAAAATAAAATTCTAATAATTCTTGATTTAGAAGATTTCTTGATTTTAGAATTATGATTCATGTTTATATATTAATGCATAAAAACAGTTAAACATATATTATTCATAAGCCATATACAATTAATATTTTAATATTTTTTTATGCAGTAAATATCTTTGAATTAGGATTTTTTTAGCTACTTTTTAGACTTATATTACTAATAGTTAGTTAGAAAATTAGTATTAAGAGGAAAATATTAGGATTTCAAATTGAAAAAAATTCAAAATTTAAGACCATCCAATCAGATAAATAAAACTTAAATTATATAATAATTTTGATCAAAAGAAAATCAAGCATTTTTTTAATATATAGAATAAAAATAAAAATCATACAGTTATATAGTTAATCATAATATATTTTCATGTATGTATAATAAAACGATAGGTTGCAAAAAAAAAAAAATTGCAACAATAAGTTAAAATAAATCAAAAATGTTTGATGAACAAAAATACTAGTCATAGCAAGTATAACTTTAAAAAAAATAACGGTAATAAATCCACTGAACAAAAAAAAAAAATGTGAAAAGTATCACAATAACAAATGTATATAAATAAGAAAAAACTCAAAGGAAAAATGAGTTAAACTGTAAAATTGTAACAAAACATAAAAAAAGAAAAAAATTATAACATTAAAAAAATAAATAATAAATGATCATTTATGATTTTTATAAAATAGTTGAGGCGAAAAAACTCTGAGTAAGAGAAAAAAATCAAAACAGAAAAAAATGTAAAAAATGAAAAAGTAAAAAAAGATAAAAAAAACTCTATTTAAGAGAAAAAAACACAAAACAGGAAAAACATTTTTAAAAAAAAAGTAGAAACAAAAACATATTTGAAAAATTTTCCCGAAGTCAATTATTCAAAAAAAGTGTAGTTTTCTTCAAATAGGTGGAATATTCATTAAGGCCATTAGAACGTGACCACCGATTTTTATATCCTGTGTCCAATTCCACTTTTGTAGTGACGGCTGGTCCGAGTCGCCTGTTATCCTGCAACATAATAATAAGAAAACTGTGTTATAATGAGAAAATCATATTTGAACTTAGCTCAATATAATGTTGCTAAAAATAATTATAATATAATCAATTTTATTTACCTGTCGCAATTTCATATATATATTTGTGCAATTCTGTCGTCCATCGATCATCACGTCCTCGAACTCTACACGGTCGAAGTTTGTGTTTCTCGATAAATGTAAACACTGTTCTCGGTCAACGGTCTTCGGCACGTGTAGTACAGCTCGAGGAGCGATCTTCCTTGCCATACTTAAGATGCTTGACATGCCACCAGCTTCCTGGCTACACAGATCATTCACGTCGAAATGTCTGGAATAGCCGGGTCTGCCCTACGGCGGTGATGTCACCACTGCATCTGCTCGAACCCGGTCTAAAATGTGGAAACAATTGCCTACACGGAAGTCAATTTTTTCACTGACTCCGTATATTTCGGCATTTCGGCGGGCTAATTTGATTTTAGTCGGGTCGACATCAACAGCAATAACTAAAAAAAAAAATACAAAATTATAAATCGAACGTCATATTATATAAAATAGAAATGTTATATTAAATATTTAAAACAGTTATAAAAAAAACTTAGGTCTTACCACGATGACATGTCAGAGCTAACTGTATGGCATTGCCACCAGCACCACAAAAAGGGTCGACGACTGTGTTGAACGAGCATCTTGACGCCATGTGTGCCGCGAGTATTTCGAGACACACGGAAAAGAAACTTACTGAATAATGAAAATTATGTGTTAGCAAATATAATTAATTAAAGAATGACCTGAAAATTTTTTTTAATTTTTCGAATTTTACATACCTTCGTCCAACACAACGCCTTCGTCGAACCTCGAGAACAAGGAGTATCGCCTCTTCCAATATTTTAACCTGTTCGTCAAAGTATTGGTCTGAAAGTGTAACACATAAAGAAGGAATGATTAGAAGTTAGTGCTTAATATATAATATAATTATATAATGCTATAATATATATATTAATTATAATTAACTTAAAATATACTTTATCATAATTGTTACTGACCTTGGGTTTCTCCGTTGTCCTCGGGTCTGTGGGGCTGGTGACCGGTTCTTTCGTAGCTTCTGGGGGCGGTACGGCAATGGGGATGACTGAACAAGGCGCAGGCGGAAATATTTCCGTTTTTGTTGAACCAACTGTGGTTTGAACCCCAACTTCGGTGGTTTGAACCTCTATGTCAGAACACTTCGATGTCGTCTGCGTCCCGAAGTCGCGTCGACCGACTTTCTCGAAGTTCCACTCCATCTGCGAATGTCCATCCCGGGTTGTGACATGCGATTTTTCGACGGTAGTCGACGCCAAGATCACTTCTGGTGACCAAGTCGCTCGCTGCTGTCGACGAGGCCCGCAATTCATCACCTTCGCACCACTAATGTATAGAGTAACGGGGGCCTGGTCGTCTAACCCCGTTCCCTCGCGGTCGCTTGATGACGACCGAAGTGGGCCCGCTACGTTGGTTCCGGTTTTGACACCGGAACCACCCACTCCTGCCGACCTCTGGGGTTCCGAAGCCCCTGAGGCGGTAACAATACTGGACAATTAACAACTAATATTGTGGTTTTTTAAGTGATTTCCTTCACTACATTTTAACCCTACTGCCAGGGGGTTTTTGATCAAGGTTTTCCTTCCTCTAGGACGGCTGCCACCCAAGGCTGAAGAGCCCGCCCTACCCTTTGTTGAGAACCGCTTTGTCAGCCCTCAGTTCGTCGACCTGTCCAACATGGGAGACCCTGATGGTAGTAAACTACCATTGGCATAGCTCTCGGAACTGTTGAGGGACGCAAGCCCCCCCACCACGACAAGGTGGGTCCTCGTTGGGGGGGGGGGTTAGTCAAGACGTCACGTTAGATGTGAAGCATACCCAGCCCTACGAACAAGGCTGGGAAAAACAATATATTTCTTTTCTATATTTCTATAAGGGGTAACCGCGAGTGCTGTCTCGTACTTGCCTCAAAAAAATTTGTGACATTGAAAGAACAAATTATAGCGACTCGCCACCTGAAGCATTACCTCATCGACATATCCGGGTGGCGGGCTTATTGCCAGGTTTTAAGAGAAAAAAAAATCCCACCGTACTCTGGGTACCCACAGGTGGTGTTAAAAAAATGTCCTAAAATTTAAGTCAAAGAATAATGATTTCGTATTTTAACTGATATTACTTAAATTGAATGGAATTTATTCTAAAATAAATTTAATTCAGCAAAAAATAAATTATGTTTTATAATAAAAAAAACTAGAACTAAATTTTCGTGTAAAAACTTATTATGATAATATAACAACTAAAATTGACTACAAAAGTATAAACCATAAATAATTATAATTGTCTGTGAAAAATATACAAGATTCCAGGAAAACATATTCATGAGACTAATTGCTACAATACTGAATAAAAAATTTGATTTATGTTTATTTAACTATTTATTAAATAAGTCTACTTTTTTTTATTAAGTAACAAAATAAGAACTAACCATAAATATAGTAGGCACCTCTTAAATGCAGGTTAGTAATAACTTAAATACGCTTACTAGTATACTAGAATGAAAAATGTTAAAGAAAAAAATTTGTATCTGGCAATTGTCAATAATTCATTAAGAATAAGGTTTATAACTTAAAATAATAAATCATAATAATTATATAAATAATAATAATAATAAATTATTTATATTTACATATAATATAATCTGTATATATAAAACACTAAGCTGATTGACTGCTATCAACGCACAGCTCAAACCATTGGACGGATCTGGATGAAATTTGGCATACAGATAGCTATTATGATGTAGACGTGCGCTAAGAAAGGATTTTTCGAAATTTTGAGTTTAAAGAGTTGAAATCGGTTTAATATTTTTTGACCAGGTCGATAACTGCGCTATTGAAAATTAATTATCTTTTGTATATATAAAACAGTAAGCTGATTGACTGTTATCAACGCACAGCTCAAACCATTGGACGGATCTGGCTGAAATTTGGCATACAGATAGCTATTATGATGTAGACGTGCGCTAAGAAAGAATTTTTCGAAATTTTGAATTTAAAGGGTTGAAATCGGTAAATAAAACTATTAAAAAATTATTAAAAAACTATTAAAAATTATTTAAAAACTATTAATTTTATTTTTGGTAGTAAATGACGGGTATTGCATAAATATTAAACAAAAAGATCCTGCAACAAGTGCCAAAAAAAATAAGAATGTTAATTCAAAAAATTATTATGCATATCGGTTGATGATTAGACGCGATCAGGACTAAGTTATTTTACGATGCATAAGCTTTATCAACAATTCATGGTCGAAATATATATAAAGATAGATAGCGAACGATTTCGATACTTCGATTTCGATTCAATCAAAAAAAAGCTGCGTGCAAAAGATTCTCAAAACAATTGTTAGATATTGGAGATGGGAAAGTTACTACAGATCAAACGGGATGTATAAAATTACCGAACGATTTCTGCACAATCATTTATTCGCAAGATGCTCTCATTGACCAGGTATGTCCCAGTGTACACAGACAATACACAAATCATGAGTGGCTGGCAGGAAGAGCAATTTTAGTAGCAAAAAATGTGGAGGTCAACGAATTGAATCTCAAGATACAAAATTTGTTACCAGAAAACTTGGTGTTTTCAAAAATTTCAATAGATTTAATAAAATTTAATCTTAGCAGGTTACATACATTAATATACTTAAACCCGGCAACGACGGGTAATTCAGCTAGTATATTATAAATATATTTATATTTATAATAATAATAAATAAAAAGTAAATTTCTCAAAAATAACAAAATAAATTCTTTATCTAAGTGTTGACTTGAAAGGGTTGGAAAAAAAATAAAAGTTCTTACCTGGTAGAAATATCTGCCCGACATATTTCTGCATAGACTATCTTCAATGACTGGTGAATTCGCTATTTAAATAGTCGACGAATCGACCACTGTTCAGCGATATTGGGAAAATAGTCAACTAACAAATTAAAATCGTTTTAAAATTGAAACTTATAAGTATAAATGAAATTTTGGTGCCTTCAGAAAAAATTAGAAGGAAATTGTATGTGTTTACTTACAACTCCGTTGTTGATGTGACAAATATTTCATACGAACTATTGTCAAGTTGAAAAATTTAGTTTCAAAACGTCATAGCAACGTGTTATTGTTAATAGCCAATAAAAGTTATAATGCGAATGATATAATTTTTTTTCAATGTTTTCAGCATACCAATCAAAATCTAAAAGATTACTATTTTAAATGCGAAGATGTAAAATCTTCCGAAAATTGATGTCATGTATCAAAAACTGAATAAACTAAAATATTCGATAAAAAAACAAATTATGTTTTATAATAAAAAAAACTAGAATTAGAATTTCGTGCAAAAACTTATTATGATAATATAACAGCTAAAATTGACTACAAAATTATAAATCATAAATAATTATAACTGTCCGTGAAAAATATACAAGGTTCTAGGAAAACATATTCATCAGACTAATTACCACAAAATTAAATAAAAAATGTGATTTATGTTTATTTAACTATTTATACATTATAATTTATTAAATATACTTATACGTTTTGTTATGATAAGGCCCAAAAGTGTAGTAGGCATCTTCTTAAATGCAGGTCTCTACACGCTTATGAGTATAATATACTTGAATGAAAAAAGTTTAAGAAAAAATGTTGTATCTAGCAGTTGTCAATTATTCATTTAAGAATAAGGTTCATAAAACTTAAAAAAATTAATAAAAATAAATATATTTATATTTATAATAATAATAATAATAATAAGAGTCAATTTTTCAAAAAATTTAAAAGAAATTGTTTATCCTCATTTGACCCTAAAATAACAGTTTTCTTAAAATAATTTTTTCTTATATGTTTTATAGTGTAGGCTTGAAAGGGTTGGAAGTTCTTACCTGGTAGAAGTATCTGCTCGACTGATTTCTGCACAGATTATCTTCAATGACTGGCAAATCCGCTATTTTAAAAGTCAACAAGTCGACCTCTGATCAGCGATATTAGAAAAATAGTTACCTGATAAATTAAAATCGTTTAAATTTGAAACTTTAAAGTAGGTATTAATAAAACTTATGATGGCTTCAGAAAAGATTAGAAGGAAATTGAATGTGTTTACATACAACTCCGTTGTTGACGTGACAAATATTTGGTTTGAACTATTGTTAGGTTGAAAAATTAAATTTTAAAACGTCATAGCAACGCATTAGTGTTAATAGCTAGAGCAAAAACTTTCATGCATTTGCATATTGTTTCTAGTTAACTTAATTGTATGCTTGGTAAGTATAAAATACAATTTATAATATTTATGAAGAAATACTCAACATTTTTGTTGCATATTTCTGCCTCTTTGGACATTTTTTGGTTTAAGGGTCATATTTTTGATCCTAATATTAGTTTATTTATATATACTTTCATAATTTCGGTTTGATTATAAGAGCATATTTTAAGTGTTTAGTGCATAATATTATGGTTTATTATAAATTGAGCGCTTTATTGAATATTTTTCATGAATCAATGTCATCAATTTGTTATAAAATTATAATGGCGTTAGAGGTAAATGTTTATAACAATGGTCAGTATTTATTATGTCTATTAAAACGATTAGGTACAAAGATCATGAAGTAATACTACCACCTGAACCTATAATTACTCGTTGGGGGATTTGATTAGATACAACAGGTTATTATTGTAAACATATTCAAAGCATTCGAAATGTTTTTATAAAGTTGAATGACGATTCAGCTTCTATATTAAAAGTAATAAATATTTTGGACGACTAACAATCAGTGTTGAGGCTTATCTAGATAAATTAATGTATTATGACGAGTAATAAAAATATTTTACCTGTTGTATAATACTGAGATGGGGCCATAGACAAAAATAACTCCCCATAAGATTTAGTGCTAGTTGCGCTATTGGTTGGAGGCTTAAGGATCGAAGGGTAGTTTTATACTTATGACTTATTGGGCTGGTCATCATTATGCCCTACCCTAGCAAATATTTAAATGACGCCCCTTTCATATACTCGTACACTTAAATTTTATAAATTACTACATTGACGAAGCGCAACAGAATGAGCATGCCCTGGGTAATAAATACCGAGGCTGCTAGTAAAGGTGGTCTCGGAGTAACTGGTATTTCACAACGGTAACAAGCGTCGTATAGCTTGCGCACACATATATCGCATGCTCTGTCGTTAAATGTTACAAAGTGTAACAGAATTAAATTACATTATTGTAATACATTATGTTTTTTATATATATATAATATATTACTGATAACAAAATAATTTTTGTGTTTTGATTAATAATGTTTTTATTCCTAAGCATGCGATGCAATACAGATATTGTTATGTAAACAATTAAAACGAAAAAAACCTATAATTTTAGATAAATATTTATTTATAAAGTTGGGTAGTCTGGTCTAGGGTAATACTAAACGCATCATATGGTACGGTCTGGGCTAATATACACTAAACCTTACGGACTGGTCCAAAATGTTTTAATACCGAATCGAAAGTCCGGTTCACGGTCTATTTCACTAAATTTTATTTAATTACTGGTTCAGTCTGATCTAAAAATAATATGAAGCCGTCGCGTCGGTTTGGTCCAATTTTGATCTTTGATTAACGCTTAAGTGTGGTCCGACTTCGGTCCTCTGGTAAAATTTGTAGTCCGGTCTGGTCAAGGCCGGATTAAGCACCTATTGGGCCCAGGGGCTGAAATTTTATATGAGCCCTTTTAACAAAAGATGCTTTATAAAGCTGTTCGCTAC